CACCAGGAGTCACGGCCAAATATCCTTTGACCCGAGTCCAAGTCACAGCCCACGACATTTCAGGAGGAGGGCGCGATTTCCACAAAGATCAACTGATTGGAGGCCAACTGCCCAAGCGAGTGGTGTTGGGATTGGTGGACAATGATGCTTTGCCGGCAGCAAGGAAAAGAGCCCCTACCATTTCAAGCACAACAAGCGTGACCAGTCTCAAGGTGAAACTCAATGGGCAAGAAGTGCATGGCACGAAATCAAAAGCGACTTTCAGGACAACAGTGCCTCGCTCAAACAGTTGTACATGAACCTGTTCTGCAACACGGGACACCTGTGGCAAGAACATCCCTGCAACCTCACCCTGGGCCGAATTCAGGAATGGATTCACCGTGTGGGTAGTGGATCTGATGGCGGATCTGAAGCAGATGAAGGGTATAACTACCCACGACAGGCGGGCAAGTTGGGACTTGAACTTCAGTTTGCAGAACCCTACCACGCCCGTCACTTCGTCTGCTACGAGGAATCTGGCGTTTTGGAAATTGATCGGTTCCATAGCGCTCTCTGATGGTCTAAGAATGGATGGCGGCGCCAGTGGCGGCGACCAGACACTTGAGCGCCCTACGTACAACAGGATCCCCTGCTGCGACCCCTCTACCAAGGTACCTTTGCCGAGATCACTTTGCCACCACCGTGCTGTGTGAACAGCAGGAGGGACATTATCCTAAAGCCTACATTGTCAACACGGACCCCAGTCATCTCCCAGGACAACACTGGGTGTGCGTGTATCGTCCAGTACCAGGTGCCATGGACTACTTTGACAGTTATGGACTCCATCCCTATCAACAGCATCCAGACTTTCGAATGTCATGACCTTCGCGGATGGCTCCAACAACAGTGGAATGGCCAATCACTTCAACCCTGGTTCAGTGCCTCTTGTGGGATGTACTGTTTGTATGTACTGGCTCATCGTGCCCGTGGATGGTCTTTTGACGAAGTGATGGAACAGTTTGATCCCTCACGATACCCTCGTCAATGAAGAGCGTGTAAGGCGTTGGTTTCAACCCACACGCCTGACAGACAACAACAACGCTGGCCATGATCCACACCTGCCAAAGGACACAACCTTATCGTTCTGATGTGATGATGTTACAGTTCTGATGTTACAGTTATGATGTTACAGTTCATACCGTTTGTAAACAAAAAGATCAGGGGCGCCCCTAATCCTGTCTTTTTGTCAAAGTGTTCTTGTTAGCGGGGAAATAAAGCGTTTGAAAAATGTCAACCTAGTGTTGTTGTTATTGTTGTTGGCATTGAAATGAACCTTTCTTTTGAGAGAGATGGATGGCCCTGAAAAGGGCCGTTTTTTTTAGAGTGTACTTCACTCCAGGGACCACAGTTGGGTCATACATTGGCAGGGATGAATGGTCATCTTTGTTTTCACGGGGCACTTGCTCCCATGAGTTAAACGCCTGATATAAGTGTCCTTCAAGACAGTGCCACAGTAGACACATTGAAAGGTGGCATTGTACTCAATGGTGCCATTGGCGTAGACAGCCATAACATCGTTGGCACTGCCATGCTGGTAAGGGTGGTGGCGATGCTGTCTCCAAGGACATGAGTTCCAGATCCCAGTTTTCTCCAGACATGATTTCTGGTTGTAACACTGCTTCCGCCGGCCCGCTCATCATATATAGTGAGAGCTCACGATCATGACGTCAGCGGTGCCGCGTCATTACCCTCACGCTACGACCATGACGTCCATCGATACCCGTCGCCATTACCCTCACGCGACCATGATGTCATCGATACCATCGTCATGGATACCACGTCATCGACGACACGTCATCGCTGTCTCGTCGCCCATATATAAACTCCAGCATGGATCAGTGAGGGCTATCTTGATGCAACATGGATACAAGAAAAGTGAAAGTCATGCGACCGGTGCCTTACCGAAAAATTGTGGTAGACGGCGGCAATGCTTGCGATGCAGCCCTACCTTACAAGGGAAGGCTGACATCAAAAGGGAAGAGGCAGCAACAACACCTGCAGAACCGATACCCACAACGGTAACAGAAGCAGCGGCAGCCCCACCACCACCACCACCTACGACAGGAGACACGGTAGCGCCACCACCACCACCACCAACAACAACAACAACAACATTACCAAAATGGTCATCCCAATGGCGACTAATTATCTGCCCTACCTGTTTTAAAGCGTATCCCTCGAATCGCTTTGATGTCGTTCCAGGAGCTGCCTTCTTCATATGCCTCTACTGTGGAGAAGGCATCATCAAGAGAGGGCAGCAGCAACACGATGATGTGTGCCCCGGAAAATTTATTTTTCGGGGTCTCCAACTCCTCTGTGAATGCTAACCTGGCTGGTTCACATACCAACGGCCCTTTTCAGGGCCACCCACCTGGCTCGAAAGAATGCTACATCCAATGTGTTTTAACCACACACACTAACACTTGTCTAGCCATGCCATCGTCCGCCTCACCCCTCTCTCCTCCCTTCCCTCTCCTTCCCTTCCCTCTCCTTCCCTTCCCTCTCCGTCCCGTCCCGTCCGCCGCTCGTCCGTTCCGCCATCTTGAAAGGCGTCTACGCTCGCGAGATCCCGCGAGAGTCCACGAGATCCCGCGAGATCTCACGCGATCCCACCGGATGGGACGCCATCTTGAAACGCGTCCGCCATCTTGGCCCGGAGGTGACGTCATCGTCATGCGCGCGCAACCACCGGAACCGGACGTGACGTCATCGCGATGCGTGCGCACACACCGGAACCGGAAGCACCGGAACCCGAGTGATCTCCCCTGACCGGAAGTGACTGATCCAAGATGGCGGCGCCCATGGGGACCGGATGTGCCGCCATCTTGAAAAAGGGGCCAGGGTGACATGGCACACTACTGCTACCCCACCGCCCCTGCTATAAAGAAGACACTGAAACAACAAGGTGAAGAAGCATGGTTTACGGAACTGTGGAATGACAAGAACACTGAAAATGGAGTGAGTGAGTGAGTTTAGTTTTACGCCGCACGCAGCAATATTCTAGCTATATGGCGGCGGTCTGTAAATAATCGAGTCTGGACCAGACAATCCAGTGATCAACAGCATGAACATCAATCTGCGCAATTGGGAACCGATGACGTGTGTCAACCAAGTCAGCGAGCCTGACCACCCGATCCCGTTAGTCGCCTCTTACAATTAATGTAATGAGTCTTCAGAACTTTTTATTTATTAAATTATTAGCTAATACTATATCCAAAATGTTTCATAGGCGTCACTTACATACAGTTGGGTAATTTATAACATTTTATTATTATTTGTATGCTTTAATATATGTGTATGTGTTTGTATGTATGCATGTATGTATGTATGTGTGTGTGTTGTATGTATGTATGTATGTATGTATGTATGTATGTATGTATGTATGTATGTATGTATGTATGTATGTATGTATGTATGTATGTATGTTCATTTTATATTTCATAACAGCAATCATTATGTATTTTAAAAATGTACTTTTACGATAACTTTAGTTTCTATAGTTCAGTGTCTCGTAAACCAATTCATGGCTGGATGTCAGTTTCTTCTTTATCCATGAATGTGTATCATGTATGTATATTTCTTATGTAACTGACCTGTGACACTTAAATATAATATTTTTGACTATCTGTCTGTCTGTCCTATTAACCCCTTTGTCTACCCTTTGCCCATAATCAATCAGCGTCTCATTCATTACCTATCTGTGCTTATAATATATACACCTTTCCGTAGACATACTATTTATGTCAGGATTTAACCCTGGCTTAGGGGCCGTTCATAATTTATGGCTAAGGGTGTGTGATGATGATTTTAGGGAAAGTGTGTGTGGGGGGGAGAACCCATTGTGTTCTGGGAGATGGGGGTCAGCAATGTTTTACAACACACACATACGGGGGAAGAAGCAATTTTGTACATAAAAGTATGTTTGAAATTATGCTTAGAAATTATGGGAAATTTTAGGGCGGGTCATTCACTTTGTAAATGCTTCTCCATTACAATAATCAACACACACACCACCCCACCCCCACCCCACCCCAGCCATAAATTATGAATGGTCCCTTATATATTTGCCAGTAAACTAAAATTTACCAAAAATAAACACAAAGCACTCCTCCAAAATGATGATGATGCATTTTATGGAGAAGCATGTTCAATGGGAATGCACCACCACCCCTAACATTTATTACAAAGTAAGTGGACCCCCATGTCATATGTACCCCATCCTATAATTTTTAAGCATTATTTTAAGCATTATATTTAAGTATTTTGATGTACAAAATTGTTGACACCCCCACCCCTCCCCAAGGACATGTGTACAAAATTTATGACCGCCCCCCACCTCCCCAGAACAAAATGGGTGGTAACCCCCACCCCACCCCCTAAAATCATCATCACTCCCCTATGCATCCACATAAGAAGAAAAACAAAACATAGTTACTTACATCATAACTTATTCCAACACGTGTTTTCATCTCATCACCTGGATTTACAGCTCATTACATTATGTTTCGGAAACAGGCTGTGCCTAATATTACTGACGCTAATTCTTTATCGCTCACTAACCTACCTGTCCCTACCGAAATTTGGCGCCCCCAGAAAAACATGACAAATCCCAGTGAACTGAACTTTCATTCACCGAAAGAAGGAGTAATTTATGGTTAGGGGGGATGATGAAGATTTTTACTGGAGAAGCGTGTACAATGTGAATGACACCCCCTAAAAGATCAACGCACAAAGCAAATGCCCCCATGCCCCCAATGTCATGTACAATGTTGTTGTTATGACCACTATGTGTTTGTACTTTAAACTACATTTTCCTTATGTATAAATAATAATTTTCATCAATGACAAAGCCTTTCTTTATCTGGCTCTCTGAAGTTGATATTTGTGAAAATTACCGGACCGCAGCTAGTTCCGGAATGACACGAGTGGTTACGAATTTTGTGTACGACAAGAGGCGGAAAGTGTCGACTATATTCGAAAGGTGTGAGACGCCTCCGGTGTGGCCTAGTTCGTCGAATGCAGGGAAGGTGGTGTCCAGTTATATTTCAACAATCGAACTTCTGTTTATTAGAAGTTGTACGCACCAAAAGGTAGGGGCTTCCTTCATGTAATGTTTCAACAAGGTGCCCTATGAACACGCTTCATCGATAACGAGGTCACTTTATTGCAAATATGGAGAGCTGGTTGTGAACAATCATTTGGATCCACATACATTTACTTCCGAAGTAGTTGACTCTAAAAAGGTTACGATCGCCATTGAATTCAGGTTTAGACATTCCATTGATGTTCGGTATGGTAGGATTTACCCAGTTAAAGATACAATAACATACAGTATTTGTTATTTGTAGGCAACAACCATCACATCGCTGACACGAGTGTTCGGTGTGATCGAGAACGTTATTTTGCTTACTAATGGGCTTACATCTGCCAGCAATGGCTGCGTCATATAAGGTTGAAAATTTTTTGCTTTCATTATATTGCAGCGATGTTCTGTCGGGTGGAATTTCATATGTAATGAAACCAGTACTATATCCACATAGATACCACTCACAGTGTGAAACATTCGGTATGTGAAACCACGTGTATTCATCTGTCACGTTGATTGGATGTTCCTTCAAGTATTCCCATGAAGGTTGTGTGGTACCTATCTTTGTTGTGAGTTAGGTTTGAAGTTTGACAAATGTATTGTTTCAGCAGATAAATAACGCTGAAGGGGTCGTTGTGGGTACAGGTACTACAGATATGTACCCTGGCCATAATGAAAATACAGAAAGGTACCCTGGGACGATTCCATTCCCATTGTGTTGTATTTTTGATCGGAACTGTCATGCTGTTGTATTAGATACATTTGATTGCTTTATGTAAGTAATGAGAATACACAGTAACGGATATTTCGCGATGCATATGAATACCAATCGCAATCAGTTGAACGGGAACAACTACATGCGTTTTCGGTTTGGATTGCAGAATATGGACTTGTCCGCCTTTCAGGGTACCGTTTACGTTTCTGTATTTTGACTTTGTTTAGGGTACATATCTGTAGTATCTGTGCCGACAACAACCTCTTCAGCATAAATAACGCTAAAGGGGTCGTTGTCAGCACAGGTACTACAGAAATGTAGTCCACCCTAAACAAAGTCAAAATACACAAACATACCTGGTACCTCAAATGGTGGACAAGTCCATATTCCACAACCTAAAAGGAAACCGTATGTAGTATGTAGTTGTTCATGTTCAACTGATTTTGAGCGGTATTGTGCATCGGTAAATAATTGTTACTGTATATGTTCCTTTCTTATATAATGCAATCAAATCCATCTAATACAACAGTATGACAGTTCCGAACACGAAAACGGCACAATGTGGAATGGAATCACGCCAAAGACCCGGGTTCGATTTCCCACATGGGTACAATGTGCCTGTATATGAAATAAGGCCTGTCCGACCGCTAGATTTCTCACTGACTGTCTAAATTTACAGCTAGCCAGCCCAATGGTCTGGTAAAACTTTTAGATAACATGTATCGGAGGGTTCATTCCCTGGAAGACGACAACTGTGATGTTTAAAATAACAAATCAGTGGAGCATGCAAGGATTTTCAAGTCGACTGCCTCCCGAGAACAATAGAGGTTCTGTGTGATTTCTATGATATGATGATACTAAATTGTTAACCGGTAAATAAATGAAAGACTCCCACGAACCATTATTTACACCCCTTAAAATACATATCACATTTTATCACAATTTATATCCATTGAATGTCATTATTCTCAAAGAAAGTTTATTTTTACAAGATAGCATTGAATGATGTCCCCAGTATTAATTAGTGTTGGGAATTGGTTAAAATCTCACAATTGATGATTGCTTCATTACAACCGATCAATCATCGAAAATAATTGGCTAGCGTCATTTATGAATTTGTCCTGGTTATTTTTGTTAATGCACAAAAACATGAAGAAAAACCATGTAGTTCTTTGGGGGGGGTTGGGCAAATTTCACATCTTGAAAGGATCACTAGTAGGTTAGAAACATAAATTTCTTGGGGTCTTTAAGATAAATTCAATCATGACTTGGAACGAGCTTGTAGTACTCATGGAATGTAACTGATAAAACCAACTGTGTGAAAAATATTGTTAATGCAAAAAGTGTTCCAGAATTGTTTGTGTTCGATTATGAGAAAACATGATCGATTGTTTGGTCGTTTCGTCACTGCGACCAATCTTCGATTATTTTAATTAATCGACCCACCACTAGTATTAATACATTCAAAATATACATTTATAATATGAATGAATGAATTATATAGATGTAAATTATAAACAATAACACTACAATTATTTATACACTATCCACAATCAAGAAGCATTTTAGTCATAGATGACAATTCTTTGTTGTATAATGAGGACATTGGTGTCAACAATACTTGGCTCTGAACTTCATTCTGGCTAGTGTCTCGAGAAACTGAAAAAGAAACAATATTGCAATTTTTTCCCTTCATAAGTATAATAAATGTGAAAATCAAACAATGTTACTGTTCTTTATGAATGAAATTTCCTCTCACACACACCTTTATGGTTATGTTGGCCAGGATGTTTGATGATGATGTCAATTGTAGAAATAGTTGAAGTGCAGTACTTATCAAGGCACATCCATGACATCCACGATGAGATACCTTCTTCCACGTGAAGTTGGAATGAACTGGTACTCTAACTGCTGATTTGCCTTTTCGAAAGTGATGCATTGGATTGCGGATAAGCAGGATATATACCAGGGTTTGAAATACCTCATGTATTAGCGTGCCATGGCACAGTAAATTTTGAAATGTCACGGTTAAAAAATGTTCTTGGTGCCCTTATGGCACACCTAATCTTTTAGAGACATAACTCACCTTTAGTCATTTAATCCCCCAAACAAAACACTTACGCAAATGACAAACAAGTAAAAACATTTATTGACTTTATCGCCCAGGAAATCACTGGAATTATGATGGATGATGTAAAGAAATGCGGTTGTTTTTCCATTTAGAGTGAAGGGATAACTGATAATTTGGTTATTGAACAGGAAATTGTGCATGCTAGATATATTGAACAAGTGAACCTGTCACAAAATTCTTAGCTATTAAAGGTGTTGGGGGGAAAGTAGAACAAATAAAGCTTAAGAAAGCCATCTTAAACAGAAGACATATCAGTGAAAACAGAAAACAGGTTACATTTGTTGTTTACTAACAATAAATTTCAAAAGATCATCATCACTGCTACAGTCATTTATTCTAAAAACATGTGGGCACACTTGATTTCTGAAAGGCACATCTAAAATGTTTGTCTGGTGCCCTAAGGCACACTTAGAAAAAGAAGTATTTCTATCCCTGTATACCCATAATAATTGGTGAGTAAATATCAACAAATAATTAGTGAATTAAAATCAGCGCCAAAGGCAATCAGTTAGTAGTTAGTTGAAATCAATGAATGTAAATCAATAAGTAGTGAGTTGAAATCAATGAATGTCAATCAATAAGCAGTGAGTTGATATCATGTAAATGAAGCCTAGTGGTTAAAGTGTTGGCTCGTCATGCCGAAGACCTGGGTTCGAATCCCTACATGGGTACAATGTGTGAAGCCCATTTCTGGTGTTCCCTGTCGTGATGTTGCTGGAATATTGCTAAAAGCGGCGTAAAACCAAACTCAGTCAGTCAGTCATGTAAATGAACACCGATTTCGTTATGCAGTTCAGTTTATAGTATAACCCACCTCACTAATCCATTAAAACAACATGATTCTACCTCGGCGAAACATCAAAGGATTTTCACTGTAATACCAAATGTCGTCTTCCTGGTAAGACACTGTATCGTAGCACCTTTAGATTTCAGCACCACAACCTCTCATGAGGACGTTCTCTGCCGTAGGTCACATGTCATTGAGACCATAATGTTGTGGTTCCGATTACACATCTTTAAAATTTAGGGTAGGTAGGAAGGAATTTTTTTGTACATTTTTTAGATGTAAAGTACGAACTAATAACATTTATCAATGTGTAATTGTTTATTCAATCAAGCTTGCGGCCATCATGTCGACTTTCTCTATCAGAATGACAGATGTCCGTTGGTGTCTGGAAAAAACAATGGCATAGGGTCGGCACCAGAATTCAAGGGTTGATCGGGTAATCGGAACCACAACATATTTTTTTAGGCCTAACTGACTGTGCTACATCCACTATTTTGCACAATGTGCAAATTTATCTTGTCATTCCTGAGCTATTACAGAAATGAACGGAAATAGTCAAATATGTCACGCAGAAGTATGAAGGTTACGGGTAGCGTAGCCTTGGGTGTCTCGTGATTTGAATCTACGGACAATTGATGAATGGTCCCAGTGCCATTTGGCACACTCATCCCATTCCGTAATCTACAAGATACCGTGTGGTGTGAAATGAGCAGATATGGCGAGAAATGAAAACATCGGCTGTTGGCGTCAGATGTCGAATTCACGATATACATGAATGACATGCTTTTAAAAAAATCATCGGGTGATTTTGTGACAGAAAAGTGTTGTAGGGAACACTGTAAGGATAATGTGAATCCAATGTCGTGGTGATGTCACAAGGGTGAGTTAGCCTTCGAATCCTTCCTAAAGAAATGTAGGCTCCCTAATGTTGTGTGTGAATATGGCTAAGGTGCAAGTTCCAGGATAATTTCCATAAGCCCATATTATCGACATTAAATCATTTTATGGTGTACTTTCGACATTATTTGGGTGAAAAAAAGTATTAGAAATGCGGGGAGGAAAAACAACAACAAATGGTAACACATGCATTACACCTGACATCTATACCTACCACATTGGATTCTAACCCTAAACCCAAACCCTAAACCTAAACCCTTGAAATTAATCCTAATAAATAAAACACATTGACCAATGCAGCTCAAAAATGGCTGACGTGTAATGCATTCTTACCGATTCGAAATATATAGTGTAAATAAATAACTCCATTCTTGTTTAATGATGCAAATTACTCAATGAAAAGAATCTATATGTATATTAGATCCCATTTATAATTCATTTAGTCCTAAAAAATGTTGAAAGCGAAATATAAAATATATTTAAAATATAAGTGCTTTCATAAACTGGTGCTTGCGAAAAATTGTGCATCCGCTGACTGGTGGGTGAATTCAGGTGATGTCAGTATTCACCCATCTAGTCGATGCTCCATGTGGACAGGTGGGCGAATTCAGGTGATGTCAGTATTCACCCATCTAGTCGATGCTCCATGTGGACAGGTGGGCAAATTCAGGTGATGTTGTCAGTATTCACCCATCTAGTCGATGCTCCATGTGGACAGGTGGGCGAATTCAGGTGATGTTGTCAGTATTCACCCATCTGGTTGATGCTCCAGGTGTGCTTCAGACTACAGTTCATTTCTTATCCATTTACTGGGAAAACAAGATAAGGAGGAATATTCCTGCCAAAAGCATTGATAGCTGCAATCATCATGACTGTTCCTTATGCCGCTTGCAGTTTATCCTGGCAATGCTGTGATGGCCTTTCTCATTGTTGTTGAAGATATGAATACACAATGTCATTTAGCATATGTTATTGTTGAAGATATCATGTGCATTACTTTGTGAATTGAGGTACCTTTTCGAAGTATTTCACAATGTTCTCCAAGGTCACCAATCCCTTGCCCTTGCAGCCTCCAGTTTTCATGGTTTCTTTGTGGCCATCTATCATTAAAGCTGTACAACCACTGTAAGCATGGTAAGTGTGAGCTCAATGGATGAGAATGATCCCAGTATCCCAGGTGGACAGGTGGCCAAATTCAAGTGATGTTAGGATATTCCTGCACAACTGTCTGATTGACATGGATAGACTGAGAAATTGTAATTACTTATTGCAAATTATAAATCATTAAATGGGTTCACTGTCCCAAAGATGAGCATTGTGTGCAAATCATATGCACTGTGTAGGCACGATGGTTTTGAGAGTCTTTTGACATATCACCCATTCAAGCTTAAAACAAACTGCCTTTTCAAGTCACCACAAACTTTACAAACACTCACTAAACCTTATGAAAAACTTTGTGAAACTTTGGTTAAAAAAACATTGTCTAAGCAATGTCCTGTGACATCAGGCTGTTGCGGGGGTTATCAAGTATGCATAAGATCCTGTCACTCTCAGTGATCTGTCACCTCATAAACATGTTATTGTGTAAGCCCACCCATTTTGAGAGTTTCACTATTTGTTTGTTAAGTATAGCCTGTGGCAGTGCATTTTACATACTCTTCAAAAAAGAGAAACTATACATGATGTTTTGGAGTTCACTTACTGAGTGCATATATCTGATTCAAACGTGACATGATTGCTCAATGGGGAACATTCCTGGAGTTGCATCCCCTTGCCCGCTGATACTGGCATATAGGACTACCTATCGGCCAAGGTGTGTGTGTGTGTATTAAAATGGACTCTGTGCGTCCGTCCGTCCGTGCACATTTGTCTTTTCCGGAGCAGAACTCTAAAACCGTTCACTATTTCTTCACCAAACTTGGCACATAGATAGATATGGTGGTGTACTGGAGCCTTTTGGTAGTTTTGGAATTCTGAATAAAATATTTTTGGCGTTTCTGTGGCAACAAGTTTTGACTGAGCCTGAAATTGGTGGTAGTACACTTTTCCGGAGCTGAACTCTAAAACCGTTCACTATTTCTTCACCAAACTTGGCACATAGATTGGTCTGGTGGTGTACTGGTGCCTTTTGGTAGTTTTGGAATTTTGATTAAAATATTTTTGGCATTTCCATGGCAACAAGTTCGACTTAGACTGAAATTAGTGTTAGTGCTCTTTTCTGGAGCAGAACTCTAAAACCGTTCACTATTTCTTCACCAAACTTGGCACATAGATAGATCTGGTGGTGTACTGGTGCCTTTTGGTAGTTTTGGAATTCTGAATTAAATATTTTTGGCCTTTCCATGGCAACAAGTTTGACTTAGACTGAAATTGGTTGTTGTGCTCTGTTCCAGAGCATAACTCTAAAACGGGTTCAATGTTTCTTCACCAAACTTTGCACATAGATTGGTCTGGTGGTGTACTGGTGCCTTTTGGTAGTTTTGGAATTCTGAATAAAATATTTTTTCGCATTTCCATGGCAACAAGTTTGACATAAACTGAAATTGGTGATAGTGCTCCTTTCTGGAGCAGAACTTTAAAAATCTTTCAATACTCTCCTTCCACTTTTCTATATACACACTTAAATATTTGATATAATCATAACTCGTAGACATAATCATGAAGAGTATTTTTCCATTGCAGGGGATATTGATGACTTTGTCTTCTTGTTATGTACAAATTTGCTTACCCCCTAGTACATGTGTAAAAAATTATGACCTCTATCTTTCCAGAACAAAATAGGTGATCCCCCTTAAATTAATGATCACCTCATACCCCACATCCCCCAAATATATTATGAACGGTCCCTTAGGCCATTATTCAATCCCCAAAATGTACAGTAAATTGGCATATTGCTTGCACAATATATTTCTAAGTATCATTTGGGACCCCACCCCAGTCTGTACCATTTTTAAAGGCTGTCTCTTCTCAACACATATAACCAGTATCTAAATGACAGATCACATTTTGAAAACACAAGAATATTATTTGAAATTGTGTTTCAGGTGTTGTCAAATAATGTAACTAAGCATGAGTGAAATACTGAAATATTATAAACACATTGAACCATTACTGGAGGTCTGAACTATCTGATGCCAGAAGCAAGGGGGTATCGGGTACATTGTCTTTTAAGGTGGGAGCCTTTTAAATTTGAATACAAATATTTCACATTTGTTATTCCAACATATGTGAAGGGTTTGCAAATTACATCAAGGCTCATCACAATTATAATGGACTCACAGTGTCGGTGAACACAGTGTGTATTTGAAATACGGAGACAAGGAATAATTTAGCTATTGAATGGTAGTCTAAATGGTACAATTGAGATTCTACCATACTTACGATTATTCTCATGTGTCAATTATCATCAGTTTTTATTGTTCAACATATTATATTCTGCATGTATGGACATTCATAAATATAGACATACATACAGTAAAAAATGATGGTCTCCTTTGGAGAACCTTGATTAACACTTACATCAGATGCATGTTGATGTTTTCCACACTGACAATCATACTGTCAATATTACTGTACAGATAATTTAGGTGACGTGCATATGCACCAAAAATGGAAGTACAACAATGAAGTCTGAATATTTTGACAGTCCTGTGTAAATGAAAATTGCTGCAGCACTAAGCATAATAGTTAGTACTGGAAGCACTGCATGTTTGTCTCTGTGTTGATATACAGTTACTTTCATATTTGGCCTGTGCCCAGTCTGGAGAGAAAATGTTTGGCTCAATATTCTTGCCATCAAAATCATCATGGGTGATTGTTTCCTCCCCAGCGACCTCACTGATGTTACATTCAACATCACAAGTATCCACCAGCATTAAGTGGGTCAGCTGATACAGTACAGGAAAAGAATTGGTCATACAACATCTGTTTTTCTCTGTTGCCTCAGACGTGTTCATCATGGAAAACATCAGTGGAGTATTACTATCCAAACTGATACAGGGTAATATTATCTCATGACTGCCAGTTATGAGAAATTGTATCATTAACAAATTTAAGTTACTGTTGTGGAGAAAGACATGTCACATAATGAACATGTTCATTCGGATAGGTCAAAGGTGGAAAACATTTTTCTTAACAAATGTTTCAACTATGGAGAAGCATAATTTAAATATGCTGACATTTTTTCCTTCTCTGAGTGGCATTTAGTAGTTGGTGTGATGAACAACAAGGAGAGTTCTATGGATATACAACTTCTTCAATATAATATTATGAGCGACATTGTGGTGTAGCTACTACCACCATTTATGATTATCAAGCTAGTAACTCTCCTCGTTATTTTTGTTTCTATAGGGAGATATGTCTGATACAAAGAAGTGTGTTCAACAAGTACACCAGACATTATTGAGACAAATTCATACCAAAAGTAAACAAACATTAGCCTGTATCATGTGTATTCTGGAATCACCTGGGCCTCATCTTATTGGACAACAGGCACCTGTAGGGAGATGTAATATGATATATTAAAGGGGGAAAAGTCAAATTTTTAAGTTACATTGAGTAATGTACTTAAAATTCTAATGTACGTGATATTATTTTCACATATGCTTATATCTCCTGCTGACAGGTAGGTAGAGTAGGCAAGTAAATTGGAACAGACCCCAATTTATTATTTTCAATGTATTAAAGTAATTGGCATTTCACAAGTAAATTTTCATGTGAACCTGTGGGTTAACTTTCATTTGCTTCTTGCTTTTAAAAAGCAAGTTAGCATCATGATATGCATGTTTGCAAAGTTGTTTGTGTTTGACAATAACACCTTTGCTCCCTTCATTGTTGAATTAAAAGTTTACCAAGAATGCTAATACACAATTGAAAATTTTATTATAAATTGTATATTTATATACTTATCCTATCTCACGGTATGCACCTCTCCTCTTCTTCTACAACCATGTGTGGAAATGTGCTGTAGGCTAAGTTGAATCAAATCTTACTGGCCTCTGACCCGCCCTGACCTCTGCCCCCACCCCGACATCAGCACCTGTCAATCATCTCCGTAAGCGTGGAGCTCGCTCAGATGATCATGTGACTACCTGTGCCTGTCATTCTCTTTCTTGTCGCTACGACGTGTGGATGTGTGCTTGTCTCTAAGAAAGTTTGATTGCGTTTCCAACATTGGGAAAATCTAATCGCAGTGGTTCTAAGAAACGTAAACATTGCGATAATTGTAACAGTAACTTCTCGGCAGCAGACCCACATGCTTTTATGTGTTGACTGCTTAGGTCGGTGTGAGTGAATGCACCGTTGTACTTTTTGTGCAGACCTCAACGACGATGATTTCTCTGAATACCGCCGGGTGGCTTGTAGACGCATGTCAGATAGGGATCGTCGAAAACCATATGAGGGTCCATCTGCGTCTAAAAGTCTTAAGGCAGAACGCCGTAAGAAAACTGCCGTCCGTCTTTCGCAGTCCCTGTCTCCTAATGAAGATTTCTTAGGGGAGGCGTCGGATTCTTACCTCAGTGAAAACTTACGGCAATTTTTCCGACCGCATGCCTTTAACCCCATCACTTTAGAAGACTCTTCTCCACCTAGGGTTGTCGTGTTATGTACATCTTCTCTTCAGCCCCGTCTGTCTTCGGTGATAACTATCCCTCAGTGCACTTTGGGTCCTGAGGTTGGGGTTTCTTGTGCGGCGCTTGGTGTGATTCCTAGCATTACATCTCAAGTGACGCTTGCAGTGCGGCGCTTTCCACTTCGGTGGTTGTTACTACGTCTGTTTCCCATTCGGTGCTTGCGTAGAATGTGTCACTTGCTTTGGGTACAGGGGATAGTTTTGATGCAGCACTTTCTCATCCTCCGGTGGGGTTGACAAGTGTGTCGATGGTTCCCAGAGTACCTTTTTCCACTTCTATCCCGTATCCTGTACCGTTTGGTTATGGGCCACCACGTTATTCTAGTGCGTTGCTTACCTCTCAAGCACCGCTTATTTCAGGACAGGTACTTGTGGGTAGAGCGCCACTTGTTGCCGATCACATGATGTCATTCAGAGCACCGCTTCAGTCCAATTCGGCGCTCTTGTTTGCCCCCGGTTCGGCGCTTACTACTGGTACTCCCGGTTCGGCGCTTCCTCCCGG